TAATTTTGAGTATGATATGACTGCAAAAATATCAACAATTTCCTTCAATCCCTAATATATATAGTAATATTATAGTAAATGAAAATTCATTTTCACCTTTAATTTTTTCTCAATCAATCACATTTTAACAAAGGAAATGTGTTCTTTCTTGCTCGAATACAAATACCATACTCCATTACGCATACGCGTAACGTACCACAAATATGATGTATAAGTATGTTTTCCCATTATCTCCGTAATAAAAATACATAGCATATTATCTTCGTTCGTAAGGTCAAAAGGCATCCTTCTATTTTTTTCTTCTTCTTAATTCTAGCTTTTTCTCATTTTTTGATCATTGTTTGATAATGTTTTCCACTTGCTTCTTAAATAATTTTCTTCCAAAAATGTAAAAACAACAATAAAGATACTTATTTTGGATAGTTAAAAAACGGGTAGGTTTTATTATTTTGATAAGTTTCTCGTATTATAAATTGTAAATTATTTCATAATTACTTTACTATTGCTTTTTAATAACATTAACAGTATTCTATAGCCTTCTTCTTAATTAATATTGTTTTATGTGATGTTTTTGATATTGTATAATTTCTTCGATTACTTACTTTTAGCTAATATATAGTTGCATTTTAATTCCATTAACAATATTTCATAGACTTCTTTTAAGTTAATTATTTATGTATTGTATTCGACACTGCATTCTTTCCTTGGTAGCATACTTTTAATTAATTTACCGTTTCATTTTTAATCACATTTACAGTATTTTATGGACTTCTTTCTAATTCAAAATTTTTGCATATTATTTTGATATTGAATAATTTCCTTGGTGAGGTGATTTTAATTAATTTATTGTTACATTTAATAACATTAACAGCATTCTTTAGACTTATATCTAGTTAATATTGCTTTAGATATTGTGTAATTTCCTTGGTTACATACTATTAATTAATTTACTGTTGCATTTTAAAATATAAACGTTATTCTATATACTTCTTCCTGTTTAATATTGTAGTACACATTGTTTTGATTTCTATAATGTTCCTGGTTTCAAATTTTAACTAATTTATGGTAGCAGTTTATTACTTTAACAGTAATTCCTTAACAGCACTTTTTCATAATCAATAATGTTTTTGATCTTACATAATTTCCTTGTTACATAGTTTGAATTAATTTTTTGTTGTATTTAATAACATTACGATAGCGCACTTCTAATAGAAACACTTCTAACAAAAGCACTTCTAATTTAATAGCGCTCTTTCCCGTCTCTGGCAAGTGCATTTTAGGCGAACGTGCACAGTTTCTTCTATATTTACATACAGTATAATGATTCGTAACACTTCGAAATCTCACTAATAACTTGCTATTAATTTTCATGACACTTTAGTGAAGAGACCGTAATTTGTTTAGAAAAATAAGTCAATAAACAAATCGAACAAGAAGTTACAACCCTCAAATATAAGACTAAAAAGATTTCGTTTTTAGAAATATTAAATTTCAGTTAAGTGGACTATTTATTGATTCCTCTAAATTTTGCAAAAAATAAAATGAAAATAAATCTCGTGCATTTGCCTCAAAACTTACACAAGTCAACAGTTGTTTTAAAATATTTCATAACTTATGTTTTCTTATTGTTATTTTTTAGATTTAAATTATCCTCATGAAATCAGGAACTATTGCAAGTATTGAAATCGTAACAGCCTGCTTTGTAATAAATTTTTTATATGGCGGCGCAGGCAGACTGGGATCAATATTTTTTGTGGAATCCATTTACCGATATGAAATTAGTCGAAAACAGGCGTCTCTCCCTTATATTTTGGTTTACATGGTGAGGAATCTTTGTGGTAAGTATACAAACTTTGTGGTAAACAAACCTTCCAAAGCAATTTGTAACTTTTTTTCGGTATATTTTAGAAGTTCATTGCATTGAATCTAATGTGTAAAAAATTGGAATGCAAAAAATTAGAAAGCAAAATTTAAAAAAAAAAAAAAATTTGAAAATAAAATTATTGGCTCCACCCCTTGTTCACCCTTAAAGATTGCTATGCAATGTTACATCGTTTGCTTTGCAAACCGTGCTCGCTACGCTTGCTATTAAACTCATTTATAAAACTCATTCATTAAACTCATTTCATAACTAATTCCTCTTAAAAAATTTAACTATATAATTTACAGCAGTATAATAAATCTATGTTTATATCATAGGAGCGATTCTCCAAACTTGACATTTTCAAATCACAATTACTTAAAAACTAAAAATGTTTTAAAAATCTAAAACAAAATCATATTTACTCTTTATAAGGTACTTAACAAGAGATAAATAAAAGTAACTTACTTGCCGGTTGTCAAGCCAATTGTTTAGTTCAGAAAATGCCAAGAGAGTGTCATTTTTGCATGTTACGAATATAATAATTTTTTTAACATAAGGAAGAAAAGTTCTTCTCTTAGAAGAAAGCATCAGAAAGTTCTTCTCTTAGAGTCATAACATTATTACTCGTTATAATATGAATTATTTTTTTAAAAAAATGTTTTCATGTATAATAAAACTGTTGTACAGGAGATTGACTGCGCAGAAGCTATTACAACACCTCGATTTAAAAGGTCAAAACTATAATAAGAATTTCAGAGGAATCAGATCTCAATCAATCCAACAACAGAATGGTTGGAATAAACAGTGTTGCAGACGCAGGACTAAAAATTCTCTATTTTCTTTCCTAAAATAATAGTCTATTTTTTTCTTACAATAATTTCCTAGATCAGGAGACTGAAATGACAACCTTGGTGAGTTTAATAATTTAACGGATTCAAAAAACGTTATTTTGAACCTTCAAATAAGTGTAGTTTTTTTATATACAAGTAGGTGTGAACATTTTAAATAAACGAAATGAGTTTAAGAAAAGTTTCAAACAAACCAAAAGAATGATTTTGGGGTAATTTTAGCTTTTAAAAATATATATATATGAATAATATTTTTATATACCTGGGGGACAAAATTAACAATCTTGTGATATTTTGTTTGGACTTGATATAGAGTATCACACATAATGTCAAGGGAATCCATGATTACATCAGAATATTTAATGTGTAAAATACTATATATTTATTTTAAATAAATAAACAATTTTTTTTAAATAAATAAACTTCTTTTAAAATAAATTTTAAAAAAATTTAAAAAATGAACATTTTTCCAGGTCCCGTTCTTGGCTATCTCCAACAAATTTTCGAAATTAAAACTCTGGTTATTTTTGGAAATGTGCTGGCCACAATCAGCATTGCAGCTTGTTTCCTTGCTGATAACATTTTAACGGTTACAATTCTATGGGGTATTATATTCGGTAAGTTATATTATTATTATATCAAATTTAGAAGAAAGTGATAATAACCATTGTTACGTAAATAACTTAGAATAATAAAATAATCAAATTGAACAATAAAATAATTAAACTATTTTTTAAATATAAGTTTTTTAACTCATTAAACATAAATCTATTTCAGGTAAAAAGGTTTAATACAATTCTATGGGGTATTATATCAATAAACATAAATCTATTTTAGGTATTTTAGGTTAAATATATATGAAAAAATATTACTTCTTAAACACAAAATAGTACTAACACACAATTAACAATTTATGATTTAATAACCCCTAATTTTTTTGCCAAAAACTACTGAACGAAATTCTAATTTGAAAAACACAAATAAATATCCAATATATTAATAAAAAATATTAACTTTATAAACTTACCCAGTGTTTTTTTGTGGAAAAATTTGTTTAACATCCCATAATGCTAAAAAGACATTATTTGACCCGATAAATTTAAGGATTTCAAACTATGATGTAAGCAATGTAGAGATAGGATCCGAATCATGTCTTGAAGTGGTTGTAATACAGTTGCGTATGTATCAAATATAAATAGGAAAGTTGCCTAAATCGTATTACTTTTCACATTTTAACTTTCATCAGCCACAAATCACTGACAATCAAATTTTAAGTATATTAATAATGAAATACAGCTTATCAAAAACTTAAATTATTGTTTAATAATAAAATTGTAGCAGTAAGCACTAAAAATTGTTTTCCCATACTCACCAAGTGGTATGATAGAGGAAACCAGTTTCCTAATTCGTACTACCTGCTCCCTGCATCTTACTAACTTCAAAAATGTTTAGTATTTATGATTAAGGGAATAAGTAGACCGCGATTGATCCAAGAATAATTATTTAATAACATAGTAAGAAATCAATCATTAAATATTACAAGTATAGTAACAATATTATAAGCTTATAAAATGTTATTGGAACATGATGTTGCTTGGTGCTACTAAGTTCAAGATTGACTTTCATAAGTGCTTCTTAGTAAAACTTTAACTTTTTGAGATAGTTCTATAACCGATTTTCTTCTTCTTCTTAGGGTTTTAGAAATGGTAGAATGGATGCCTTACGCGAAGAACGTGATCGGACAGATCGGGTCTATCAAATCACGTTACTAACCAAATAATTACTGGATCATTACTTGACTAACCAGGTGGCTCATCACTTAAATGTTTTTCTTCACATTTTCCCTTCTGAGAACGCTGAAATTAAGTTTCATAAAACGGTTTTTGATATGCTTCCATCATTCCATTATGGAAAATACTACTTTAATACTATGATGGTTAACTACCAAGAGAAGTTTGATTCTCATGGACCAACAATCCATGATGATCCGTGTTGGTTCATGATGGTTCCAATTATACATTTCCATGATAGCTTAATGGGAATTATCGTTGGTTCTCAGGAATATACCATCAAAACAATTCTGTTCGAATTCCTACTTTGGGGTGACGATGCTTCATGATCATTCCAACATTTGATTTCTAAGAAACTATAAGGGAAATTTCTGATGATTCAACATGAACAAACCATCAAAACAAGTTGATGCATTAGCAATTGTCCAGCGTATCTATTAAGAGTAATTTTTATCACTATTTATATACCTTAATTAGCATTTCTTATATTTCTTTCAGGTGTTTGTTTCGCCCTTGGAACGCAGTTTCTGCCATCATTACTTAATGACCATTTCACAGTAAACCGAAGCAAAGCAAACGGCTTCGCATATGCAGGAGCTTGTTTTGGAGGAATAATGCTGCCACCAATAATGGATGCTTGCATGGAATACTATGGGCTAAATGGATCTTTCTTAGTTTTAGCAGGTATAATGGGGCATCTAATTCCATTTGCATTTCTTTTGAAATCCAGAAAAGAAAATTCGAAATCTGTAATTTCGAATGGGAAAGACAAAGAGAAGCGTATTGGAATAAAAGATGAGAAGGAAACAATGTTTGCTTCGATACATCCTAGCGATAAAAACAATGACAAGAACAGTTCTACTCATGCTAACGACATGGCAACAGAAACATTATTTGAACCCGATGACGTCAAAACGTGTCCTTCAACAGAAACAAAAAATCATATATCACGCCAAAATACGGAACGGAAAGAACCACCTTTAACTTTTTCATTCAAAAATTTTAAACTGTTTACCGATTCAACATTTATAGTTATGTTAATTATGACTGCCGGGACCACACTTATAACAACAACTATGTGGACGATAATTCTGGATTTTGTTCGAGATAAAGGCATTGGTGTAAATTTGGAAATTTATTATGTCATGATAATGGCGATCGCGGACATATTTGGGAGAATAGCTTCTGGATTTGTTATCGACAAAAACTATTTACCAACAATTTTGATGACGTCAATTAGCTTTATGTGCACTGGGTTGACTTTACTTGGTTTAGTGTTCGCTTATAATTACTTACTCCTGGTGTTTATCGAATTCCTTTTCCCTGTATTTTATGGATTTACATTGATTTTGCAAATCGCTTTGATCCATGAATTCATTCAGCCCGAGAGAAGTGTTATGGCAATGGTCAGCAGATTTGTGCTGTATTCACCTTTGAGTTTGACTATATCTCCAATAATCGGTAAGATATATAGAATTTCTAAGCTCTAAAATTGTTTCTTTTTATTAAGAAAATCTTGGAATCCTAATAAAAGTGACTTTTCTACACAGTTTTGCAGCAATGAGATAATCTTTCTTCGTATTTGTCTACATTGTACTTTAAAATATCATTTACAGTTTAAAATCAGAGGTAGAAATTTATTTAACTGGACACCGTTTCATTTAATTTGTATAGAACGGTTGACTAATTAAACCTTTTCAAGCTGAGTAGAAATATTTGATAGAAAATAAATTTTCAGACTAGAAATAATTTATTGCACTAAGTACAAATATTTCTGGGTATATTTATACTTTGTTTCCTTAAATTTCCTTAGAATTCCTTCAAATTCCTTAAAGGCATGCAAAAAACTTTACAAAAAAATCTCATTTTATAGCTTTTACTGTAAACTTTATTTTCCCTTTTTTTCATTCTAGCTTTGTCCAAAGCTCTCTAATGCTACATTGTGTTTTTAAAACTTAAACTACTTAAGTTTTAAAAACACAACTTAATGTTTAGGCCAACTTAACGTTTAGACCAACCTTCACTTTCAAAGACTTAAAGAAAGTTAACCTGCACAAATAAATCTTGTTTCAGCGATAGTCATAAAATAGATTATATGAATCTTAAGAAAGTGAATTTATCATTAGTTTGAGAACAATTTTAACTCTTGATTTGCAAATGATGATTTATACTCGATTTCAGAAAGTATTTTTAGCCTTCTTTTGTAAAGACGATATAAAAGGGTAGTCTATGCAAGTTTAATGTGAACTAGCATAGTTAAGAACATTGTTCCAAAATTGTATGGTTTATTTACTAATCATTTATAAATATATTTGGGCTTTGTGATAAAGGTTGTTGCTCATATTAAAATCAACCTTCTGAACTGCTATCTGGGTTTTGATTCGATTAGATTAAATTTAAAAAACATTTGCATTATTCTTTGGTTGTTTAAATATAACCTAATCCTTAAGAATGGGTGAAAAAAAACATTAGAGTGGGCAAGGTAAAAAACAAGATTTAAGCATCGAACTTTTAATAGCTGATAAAATTTGCTTTAGGTAGCAGTAAAGGTACTAAAGTAAAAATTGTTTAGGTTATAGTTCTCCAGCCTTCTCCCGCCCAAAAAAAATTCCAGCGATATGAGTGATGCATGATTATATCCTTAATACATAAATAAATCCTGTCAGAACAATAAGGGCAGTAAAACTAGTTCATAACATTTTACTGCAGAAAATTTCATAATAAAACATGGCATTTAGGAGGAAAATAAAAATATAATTTTCTGATAGCAGCAAACTTTACAGCTATAAACCAATACTTGCCAAATTTTTTCAAATTTACAAATAATCACCAATGGCCATTTTCTTCAGTTTATGGGGAAAAAATAGATTTTTTTTGTCTCAACCTACCAAATATATTATTTTGAAAATAATACTATGATTAAAAAAAACTTTTTTTTTAAATTTTCAAGTAATGTTGTAATGAATAATTCTGTAATAAAAAATTTATTTTTAGGTTATTTTAGAGGAGACAATGGGTCTTATGATGGTGTTGTTTTTACTCTAATGGGTATTTCTTTTTTCTGTGGATTTATTTCACTTACAATACCTTATTTGGCAAAAAGAAGACGAACAGCATCAGACATTGTATCGTAAATTCATGTAAAATGTGTTGAATCAGCTGTAAACATTTTGTGCAACTCAAATTTCATCATTTGTTAAAGTAACATAAATTTATTGAATAAACATATCATGTTAGTAAATTTTTTTATCACTTTTGATTCACTACCCATAAAGCTTGGCTATACCGGGTGATTGCATGTGATTCATAACTTATTGTCTGTGATTCATAATGTAATATCAATAATTTTTATAATTATCTCTTAATTTCTTAACTTATTTTTAAATTTCTTCTTGATATAGAAGTTTTTAGCTGTTCTTCAAAGAAAGCTATAAAGAGACTTTTGCCTATTCAATGTCCATAAATGATGTCAAACTTTTTTCAATATTCTTGACTTCCACTTTTCCTCTTGTCCTAAAGTGTTGCATTCACTGTACTTCCCATCTTTCTTGCGACACGTCCTAATATGTCAAACTGTATTTCAATACTTTTGACTCTTCCTTTTGTCCCAAAGTGTTGCACTTCACTGTACTTCCCATCTTTCTTGCGACACGTCCTAATATGTCAAACTGTATTTCAATACTTTTGACTCTTCCTCTTGTCCCAAAGTGTTGCATTTTTCACTATACCATCTATCTTTCTTGTGACATGTTCTGATATATTACATGAACATATACTTGCAGTTCAGAAACAAAGTACAATATTATATGCCAAATTTCAGGTTTTATTTATATGAAATTTATGAGCATAACACTAATAATTATTACAGATTGTATGAAGTAAAATGATATTTAGAACTAAAAGCATAACTAATCTACATTATTAACACTTTGCTGACCGGCAATTTCACACAGAAACTACGTCATGTCGCTGGCTATTATTTTGACTGTGGTAAAGGAAAACATTTTAAATATTGATTTCGTGATGAAACACTGTTGACCAAAAACGAGTTAACTCGACATTGCAAGAGCAGTGACGAGTTAACTCGTCATATGTCAACAACGTATGGTCATGAAAAGACGAGTCCAGTCTCCAGTCAACAATGTGTTAATATGAAAGAGCAATCAAAAACTATAATATTTTGAAAATCTATCTTCTCTTTGCTTTGCGAAAACAAAGTACTCTTAAACAGAATTGAATGAAAATTACAATGATGATAATAAAACTCCTAAATAGTTTAGTTTCAGTAGCTCAGAATTAAAAACTTTCATCGTAAAACTAAATTCAGATTAGTTTTACTCACTCAGTAGCAAGCCACATTATAATCTTTTTGGCATAAATGTAAGTTGAAAAAAAAAATACGAAAATAAATAACATAAAACTATTTAGTCTTCTAAAATTAAATGTTTTTATTTTAGCTACAATGTGGGATATCACACTTCTTGTTACCCCCACTCCTTTTCTTGACGCAAACACTCACAATATCACAAACGCAATCCTTGCTTAAAAAACAGATCCATTCATATATTTTTATATATACATTCAAATCTGTTTGCAGATTTAAAAATAATTCTGTGGTTAAGGCACTATTTAGTGAAGAAAATCACGAATTATGGGCTCTATTACACTACAAAAAACTCCGGTAAAAAGTACCGGCATATTTACCGGAACATGTTATGGATTAAAAAAAGTCTCATACATAGTAAATTTTACAGTAATAATTTTCGTAAAATTACTGGACTCTAATTAAATAAATACTACTGTAAAAATTGCAATATAATGTTTTACGGTAAAAAAATGGATTTTACGGTAATATGGGTTTAACGGATAATGCACCGAAAGTACAGGTACTTTATATCGTAATTTTATCCGGAATTATTTACCCTGCAATACATAAATTTGTATGGCATTAATTAAAATTAAAAAGAAGAGAGCGATCAAGGCGTCGATATTGTATTATTGGCGTGAAATTCTATTAATTTACAGAGTCATAATTTATTATTTAAATAATTAAAATTTATAAAACTTTATAAATATAAAAACCAGTATAACGGAAATTACTTCAGAAATATTTATACTGTATAATTTGAAGCAAAAAATAACGTTAAACTTGTTACAAGATCAGAAGTCAATATAAATGCTATTACTATGTGATAAGGCCATTTTAAGATGAAGTTTTATTCTTTCTATTAGCGTATATGAGTACAATATCTATATATATATTTCTCTTACACGGCGACAAAAAAAAGCCTCATTACTACTCCCCGAACGGCAACGCTAGAAAATCGACCAATGATTGCCGCTAAAAATGTCACATGCCAAATCTAGCTGAGGTCACTCAACATGTAGCGCTTTTAAAAACTGAAACTGAAATAACCAGAGAGAGCATAAGCTAGGCAGAAGTGAGTAGTCTTTGTCGATAGATCTCTATTTTAGTATTTTGTCGAAAGCGCTTTTTTTCGCGAATTTATTTATTACGAATTTATTTGACGATTTTTGATTTATATCAGGAATTTGTTTGCTTTACTAGAATTTATTTGTTTATGCTGTTTTTTCCATTGCAATTCACTTATTTCAATTTTTAATAGACTTAATTATAGCCAAAATTTTAACCTTTTTAAAGAGATATTAGTTTTAGAAATTTTATTTTAAGATTTAATTCTATAGTACATTTCTAATAGGTTTAACGAATTGCATGTCATTTATTTGAATTCAAATTTATTTTAATGACTTAGTAGTTACTAAAAAGATGTAATTTTTTTTTAAAGAAAAGTTGTTATACGGATTCGAATGATTGTTTTGAATTCTTAGAATTGTTACAACTTAACTGATGTTTTTAACAGAAAAACGTAATCAAATGAAAATTTCTCAAAGGTGGGAACTGGGGAAACATTAAAATTCCTTTTTCGCTATTTTGGGAATCTAATCTCTATTACTGGGAGTTTATGGAGTTTAATCTCCAATTATTAGAGGAATATTAATTTTGTAACTTTATTTAGCTTATAAATACTACATAGAGGTCATATTAAATTTAATCTTCAGTTATAAAAAAAACTTATATAAATCTCCATAAGGAATAGAAATGTTAAATTTAAGTTCCCTTAACACTAGATAGCCTAAGGAAGTCATTTGGACTATTTTTAATTTCGATTAGAAAAACAATGATGTATATAATGACACCATTTCCTAGAATTTTGTACAACATACAATTTTTTTAGTGTTAATATTTACAGAAACTTGTTATATAACTGTAAATAAATATAACTGTAAAAATATAAAAAATTAATTTTTAACAAATTTCTTTACACATTGTTTATTCTTTAACAATCCAGTCATTTTGACTGCTTTTGGGCAATATAGATATATACTAAGTTTCAGTCTTTCTAGTGTTAGCAGGAAAAATTTTAAATTCAATCTCCATTAGTAAGAAAAATATTAAATTTATACTCTATAATAGGAGACATTTTAAATTTAATCTCCATTAATAAAAAAAATATTAAATTTAATCTTCTTTAATTAAGGAAATATAAAATTTAATCTCCATTGATTAATAATATCCAATTTATTTTCCATGAACAAAAAAATATTAAGTTTTTTCCTTTTAATTGTTGAGATATGAAATTTAGTCTCTTTTCAATGACAGCAATGTTTAATTTCATTCAAATTAAGTTCTCTTTCTATTTAAATCAGCATCATATATCTTCCAAAAACCTGAACTCAGCTGCATAATACTATCATATATTTTCATCTTTATTTGACAAAGCGAATAAATTGAAAAAGTTGTTTACAAATTCTTCACATTGACCTTCGCACAACACATTAAAATATTACATGAAACGCTAACTAGGCAATTTTTTCTCCAATATTGATCTTGATTAGTTTGTAAAGATTACTCGGTATTTTATACACGTAGATATTTCATTTGTTAACTATTATCCGAATGAAAAACTTCGATAACAATCTATATCCTCAGGATTTTAAAAAAAAGCGGTAAGAATTTCCACATTTTTATTAATTTTCTGATTTAAAAAACTATACTATACAATTGTTTTATTAATATCATTAATAAAACAATTGTATAACATAACATAACTCATTAAATACTTTCATCATTTATTTCACTGCTCTATTAAATTACAATTTAAAATGTTTTTATGGCCTTTGATTGTAGTTTTTCTTTGCATTTTTTTTTTAAAAAATGTCTCATTGAGACACTTCTAAGTGCATTTAAAAAATTCCAGATCCAATTACGGTAAAAAGTACCGGCACTTAGAATGCCGGTACTTCTTACCGTATAATCAATTTTTACCTATATAAGAGCAAAAAATGTGATATACCGTAATTTTTACAGAAATTGGCATCACTGTAATTGAATAAATATTATTAATAATTAAGGTACAATATTTTATTGCAATAATGAATTTGATGGATGATGCCCCCAAGTGTCAGTACTTCATGCCACAATTTGTTCCAGAATTTTTTATAGTGCGGTTGTTCTAATAAAAATATCATTTCTTTTTAAAAAATATAAAAAATATTATTACTTCTTTCGTTAAAAGTTTCCATGTAATTTTCTCTTAGACTTACAATGAATTGATACTTTTTTGTATAACTGTATATAACATTTTGAGTAACAGTTTAACTAAAATGAGGGTTAACTTAGAATATGCATTGCAATAAAATGTTGTCTGAAAAATATAGATGCTTATTACATTATTTAAAATGTGCACAACTTGTTGTTTTAAACGCAGTAAGGTTGTACATAATATTTACTTTTTGATAATTATAATCTAATAAAGATTAAAACGAAAATATATTTAAATCTTGATTAAAACAATAATATGTAAATCTTAAAGCTGAGTAAAAAACTTGATGAAAATATTTTTTTTCCTTTCAACTCTTCGACTACTCATATGAAAAATTTGACCTTTTTTTACTAACAATGTTTTTTTGTAACATAATAAAATTTTGAGTAGATATTATTTGAAAACTTAGAGTGTTATAATCTGTTAACATTATTATCTTTTACTTAATCTAGAAACTACACTGTTTATAAATGATTTTTTAAGCATAGATCAAACCTTCGTTTTTGAGTTGGTTTGGCCTGTCATATAGGTTTTAATACCTTTACAATTACATATAATTTCACAGTTATTAAAATTTATGAAGAGCAATGTCTAAAAAAATTTATAGTTAAAAATTATGTTGAAATAAACTTTAAGTATTTATTTACAAGTGAGGGAAATCTGAACTAAAATTGTTAAATGAATTAAGTTTGATTCAGATAATTAAACTATCTAAAATAAAATTTATTAATGACTTTATTTTTGTTTTCCTGTTCTTAATATTTTATAGAGTTTTCTTTGTTTTTACCTTATGCGTCGTGTTTCTGCATGACAAGGATATTTGTCAAAAGTTTTCGTTTTTGACACGACAGGGCAAAAATTAAAAAACACATAAAATTAATACTAAACAGTAAGTCCTAATAATTTAGCTAATGATATTTCTAGTGTCCCATCTTTTTCAAATGTATACAAATATATTCTAATTTATTTTTTGTACACTCTCATAATCCCCTCACACCTGTTTCGCTCGTTTATTATCTCGTTCAAGCTTACTCCTCTACTGATTAAACCACTTTGTACTTGTTTAGCTCTTTACTTCTCTACTGTCATTTGGTGTCAAGACTCTTAGGAAGGTTTTTGTTTATAGAACCGAAACTAGAATATGTTTATTACGGTATCTTATTTGCACTTTATTCACGTTGCTTTTAGCTTTAATAAGTATATTGGTTTTTAGTATATTAATCTAAACATACAAATTTCAGGTTTTTTTTTTGATCTATGTGAAAGACAGATATATGTGGCCCAGGAAATAAGAACTGGCAGTAAGAAATGCAGTTTTTTTTTGTATAAAAATCGCGTTACTGATGATTTTTCTTTAAATTGTCCACTGATTGGCTGAAATAATGCATGATTTTTTGCCTGATATCGCATGCCATGATTTTACATGGTGAAATCTTACGCTCATCATTAGCTAAATATATGTTAAAATATAAGAATAATAGGCTCGATGAAACCTTTGAAGCTTTGACTTCTAAAATTACTTAGATAAAATTATTAAATTTTAATACATTTTTCAAAATTGAACTCCTATTATAAAACATTTTTTTTTTTTTGTTAATTTTACCAAAATCATTATCAAAACCCGCCGAACTACCCTGATTTTAATGTTCCCGTAGAGCCAGAAACAAGGTGTATACATATATATATATATATACACTAGACATATATACACTAGACATATATACATATATACACACATATACATATATACACTAGAGGGCTCCACCCCCTGCTCGCTGCCGCTCGCCCACCCCCGATAATTGCTACGCAATTACATTTTTGTTTGCTTCGCGAAAAAATTAAATTTGTTTTCCTGGAGATTAGCTGGTAATTTTTCTGCACCAACATCACATAGAAAGAGTATGATAGGATTGTAAAATGTCAGAGGTGCTTATTATCAGCATTAAAAACTTATATAAAGCAATTTTAATACAAACAATATTTTAAACTTTTATAAAGTTGAGCAAATTTGTGATTTTGATGATTAGGAGGGATCAAGCTGGTTGTTGCGGTAACATTGACATCAACTTTAAAAGTAAGACAACTGATCCCTTTAAAAGAAATTTCATGAGACGGGCAAAAAGTTGCCATCGCAAATACAGAATTGTACGATCGAACATTCTGTTTAAAGTTAATTGCATCAGAATGGCTGCCAAGTATAAAAGATCTTTTAATACTTCTGGGTATTCCTGATTGGCGAGCTCAACTTTGCCATGATGGCAGCAATTAAATTTCGTTCTGCCATGCTCTGCTGGAAACGAAAGAGCACCACAGTTTATACATTCATCACTAAATGTTCCAACGAAAAAAGGGGGTATAATGTCTGATAAAGACTCACCAAGGTATTCGTTTTTATTTAAACGTCTTGACTCTTCAACGTTTCTTTGCAGCGCATTCCGTCGTCGCGTATTGATAGCACTATTTGTGCTGCTAAATTATGTTCAACTGTATGTTGCTATGGGGGCGAAGCCTCCTAGTTTTATTATAAAACTTTAGAACAACTATGTTTTTACATTGCCACTCAAAATTATTAATAAACACTGGATAATATTGCGTTAATGACACTTTTATCTAATGGCGTCATAAACAATCGTTCGCATAAAATTTATTTCATAATAATCATATATAATCGTCTGTTGAGTTAATAAATCTTCCTTTTTATAAACGTAATAGTAGAGTTTTCTTAATTATTTGATTCGAAGTCTTCTGAGTTTTATTTGAGGTCAGTTTGTATTTTGTATTTTTTGACAGCATTATTAAAAATTATTACCTTTTCACACACATGCGTTCTCAATTTTGATTGGCTTTTAGAAATATTGT